TACTTTTTATTTAATAGAAGAAAAAAAAAGGTATCAAAATCATGTTTTTATTGTGGGGGGGGGCCTCAATGGTTTCTTGCACCGGGGCCCTGGGGTTTCTAGTTACGCCTCTGATCTCCAGAGTCCCCCTCTTTCACCAGAGCCGCCTTCACATTAGAGGCATGACTTTGTGTGAAAATTTCAAAGCACCCCCGAGGAAGTCAGGAGGCACGGCACCCTGGTTATGAAAGGCTGATCTACAATATATAGATACTATTACAATGTATAACAGTACAATTTTACAACGCATACTAAACTAATAGAGGTGCAGAGGGGACTGGAGACAAAATTGTCCCCACTGCATATGTTACAGTAAAAAAATGCATTTCTCCTTCACAGCTCCTTTGGCTTTCTGTTATTTGCAGTTTGAGTCTCTTGAAGACTCATAAGGTTTACCAAAAAGAAGAAAAATGCTCACCTAAATGCTTACCTTTGCTGGCCTATGGGTGCATATTGCTAGAAAAATATGATTACTGCCTGCTCTGGCTAAGTACGGTTGAATTGGGAAATAATCACACATTGTATGGACATGCTGCAACCTCTGCACTTGCCCCATAGCGATCTGGTTCTGGGCGAAGGCAATGATCGTCCAAGTTGGAACCTCCCAGGCAGTTGCTATTGTTTTTCTGAGATAATGTTGATTTATAGATACTCTTCAAAGTCCATAAATATACACACTCATCTGATATAAGCATGCATTTTTATGGCGCATTCATTCTAATGAATGGTCACATTGATCCCATGTAAAATACAGATGTGGATTTTTACACCTAGAAGACTATTGTGCTTGTTCTAGAATATCAAGCTGCAGTTTTAATAAGATTAACTGACTTTGGAAATAACCTTAGCATGTTACAGATTATATGAGATTTTAGTGATTGGGTTTAAGATCTACTTTAATCATTTGAAACATCCACTTTGGATTGTAATCAAAAATCAAATAACACATGGCATAGAAAATACTGCACATGTTATGCTTTTGCTAATTGAGCCTTTTGTTACCAAAAGCTCTTTTAGAATTGCACACTGATACTGTAAAGGCAGTCTTTAAAGTAAAGACAAAGGACTCCTTTGGCTCAAATATGCTTAGGCCAAGTAGCTGAAATCCTTGTGAAAGCAGGCAGCGCTCACATAGATCTCAAAATCTGTCCTAAATTGGAGGCAAAGCTCAGCTGTGTTTTAGTTAAATATTCACAGTATTGTTGTTTGGTAAATCTGTAATCCCCCCGCAGTGTAATTGCATGTGTGTTTGTGAGGGGGAGCAGGTGTGTGTATATGGAAGACTCCTTTCATTAAGATGCATGGGAGGGGCAGCATTAGATAATGTGTAGCAAGTCACCCCAGGCTACTGAGCCTGTCCTTCTGGACATAGAACAATATACTTGCTGGAGAAAACAGTTGCTTCAGGATGCTGGCTGCTCTGCCAGGTAGTTTCACGGTGTTAGAATTGTAAATGGTCAAAGGGGGCCTGCAGCAAGTAACTAGCTCCCATCTATGGAAGCCTGACAGTACATCAATCAATAAGCCTGGCTTTCTGAAAACAAGTCTTCAGAGTTCCATCTCCCAGGGTTGACCTCCAAGCCAAAACATTCAAATCAATCAACCCTTCGTGCATTCTATTTTGCCATGCACATTATAAAAAGCACCCTACCCCCACCCCCAAAAAAAAAAAATTGTAAGTAGGCAGATTTTTACCATTAGGTCTCTTCTCCAATAAAACAATTCTTACCTGCCTGCTCGCAAATGTGTTTTGAATGTACACATGCATGCTTAGCTGAGGGTAGATGCATGCACAGGAGTTACGTCAGTCCGGCCCATTAATATGGCCAAAGACAACGAGCCTGGAAGAAAACTGGGCAAAGATGTCCCCTCCCCCTCTTTTGGCTCATATGCCATTTTAAACATCAGGGTCACTTTGTATGTAAAAGCATACCGGTAAAATAGGAGGGAATATAAGTATACTCCCACTTATTTTGCAGGTATACTTTTACAAACGTAATGGCCATATGCTTACTGGGTCCCTTTAAGAATAGCAGCCAAACATGATTCCACCTTCAGTAAAATGAAATCAGATTGGAGGTGATATTTTAATGCCTTCTGTACTTTTTTTTTGCATTGCTTTACTAAATGAGCTCCACCCCTGAGGATACCGTGAAGCATGTTTTCTACAGGCTGACTATAGAGGGCTCAGTTTAGAAAAACAGGATTGTTCCCATAGCAATCAGTCTCGCTTTCCATGTCAAACATGAACTGGTTTTCCTAAACCACTCTACTATGAGAAACTAGCTACCTTTTGATAATCATCTGCCTATCTATGTGGAGAGTAAGAAAATCGAAAAAGGGATAAAGAAAAAGGATACAACCTTTGATCTGCTTTTGTGTTTACAAATGCCCTAAGCAGGCACTTTCCATACTTAACAAATAAACGTGGTTCAGAAATTACAGAATATGGTCAACAAGCAGTGAGCATGAAACACCTATTCTCTTTGTGGATACCTATTGTCTTATTTAAAAAAAAAAAATGAAGTACTCAAAATACTCATAAAAAGTTAGCTATAATTTAGATCTTTATATTAAAAGTCACTTTTTAACAATATATAAAATAAAATTGACACAAAAATGTGAAACTTTTGGTAAATTGCAAAAGAACATATTCTGTTTTAAATATATCTATAATGTATAAAAGCATTTATGAATCAACAGATTGTAGGGATTCTTCAGAGTTCAAAATGTACCTTATTATATAATTAAAAAAATGATAAATTATATGGCTGCCAAGAGAGTCCATGTAAAACATTTTTAAAGAAGTCTTCTCCTTTTAAAAACATTTAAAATGACCTATAATATGCTTCGGAGCAACCGGGACATAAATAGTTCTATTAGAAAATATTTACAAGCTTTATATAACAATAAAAACGCGAGGCACTTTAAGGCCACTTGTAAGACCAGATTGCAGCTTGGCTTTACAAATGCAGAAGAAGGTAAACTCTGTTCGTATTCGTACAGGGATTCCAGCATCACAGTGCTACCCCTATTGGTTTTTCAAATTTCTTGGAACCTGCTCAGGAAGTCTATCCCTGCTAGCTGTAGTCCTTCACATCCACAACATGGGATTATAGAGAATGTTCTTGACATGGCTTGACAGAGCCAGTCAGGGGCTCACAGTGCTTTGTATCCTGCAGAGTGGTAGCTTGATTTCAGCACCATTTTTCTTTTTTTCCTCCAAGGCAGAACAGAAAAGCAGCACAGTGTTTCACCGGAGTCTATAGAACTAGACATTGGTGGTGTCTCTAATAAATTAGGTTACTGATACAGAGGGCATGCTGTTTTTGAAGTCCATACTCCCCTATACAGTGTCTTTTTCAGGTCCCCATGTGAGTATGAACGTTGTGATAATTGAAGACACAGGAAGGTTCCACTACAGGGTCATGGGTAAAGACAGAGTCATCAGAGGAAGAACATGTGCTTGCAGTATCTTCACAAGAGGGTGAATACTGTTCAAAAGGCATAGACAGATCCAGATACTGGAAAGTAAAAAATAAATTAAAGTCATTAGTGGATGATACAGCCAAATCCAGAGTTATAAAATAAATCAAATTAAAACACACACACACCACACTAAAAAAACCTAAACAAACCATAATGATTATAATAATCATGTCTTACCTCCTCTGATACAGCAGTAAGAACCCTGTCCAGCTGTTCCACTAGCTGTTTGAATGTCTTTCTCTGCGACGGTACAGCGTGCCAGCATTCCCTCATCAACGTATACCTATAATAAATTGCATTATTTTAATAAAGGCTCATACAGGCTCTCAACTGAGAAATTTACCTTATACTCCACACCCACATCTGATGGGATTATATTGTTCCTGCACTATTTACCAGCCAATACAAGACAAGCTAACAAATGCTTTAGATTTATATGCTACAAACAGTTATTACTGCAACTGAAAAAAAAAAAACCCCAATAAAATAAAAGTCTAGTCTATTTTAAGCACACGCTCTGTTTTTTCCATTTTCACAAACTTTTAGGTAAGCTCAGACACTCCCTGATGAGCAGCTTTGACCAGCTCAGCTAGAAATGACCAGTTTTAGCCTAGGATTGGATGGATGTGAAGGAGATGGGTGTAAAGTAGTGTCATTTTTCATTAACTAGCATAAACAGGACTCTCAATAAAAGAAGTTAACTCTGCACCTACGAAATTAAATCATGGTTCTAATCTGACTGCAACTACAAAACTTTACGTTTCATTTTAACACCATGTTATGTAGTGGCTATTCTCCAATTTTGGAAGAATATTTACTGGGCAAATAAATACTTACAGCTCATGAGTACAATTTGATGGCTTGTCCATTCGATGTCCTTCTCGTAGCAATTTAAATAATTCTTCCACTGGAATGCCAGGATAGGGAGATCCGCCAAGGGTAAATATCTCCCAGGTCAACACTCCAAATGACCAACTGTAAAAAGAAAATATATATATTATTACACATGTAACTTTAATACAAAATACATAAATCTTTACACAAGAACACATTTAAAGCAGACCTGTACTGAAATGCTAACATAAAGCTATAATAACATTCTTGCTGGGACGAATAGATGGAGTAATAGAAGAGCTGTCTGTATCCATAATTTTCTTTCAGCACAAACCACATGTCTAAAGCCTAAGCCCTCAATGATATGATCTCTGCTGAAGGGGGAAGACTAGCCAATCCATCGTTAATCCACCAGTCTGCAGCATAGGTCACATGACCCTAAGACATGTCACCACAGAATGGAACCTGGACCAGCATTTTCTCCAGCAGAGGTTATAATTTTAGCACTTCGGTTTTTCTTTATCACGTTAGCAAGACTGTTACCGTAGTTTTTTTTTAAATATATATAAACATTTAAGCATCAAGGGGAAAGGTAAAGCTCGGAGGATTGAGTGACTAGAACGTTATTATTTTCAAAACTAGACAAAAACAAGCACTTAACCCTTGCAGTGTGGGGGTAGCCCGGCTGCAAGGGTTAAGAAAAAATTTCCACAGAAAGTTCTGCTTTAACAAGTAGAGAAATCCTCAAGTTAGGTACCGGCTGTAGATTCTAAGGAACATTGGCTACCTGGCTCCTGGGATTTGTCCAGCCCTGAGCTAAATACACTGGGGGGAATTTATCAAAACTGGAGCAGACAAAATCTGGAGCAGCTGTGCATGGTAACCAATCAGCATCCGCATTTCATTTTCAAAACTTAACTGAACAGACTGAAGAGAGAAGCTGATTGGTTACCATAGGCAACTGCTCCAGATTTTGTCTGCTCCAGTTTTGATAAATCCCCCCAACTGTATATGTGATCTGTTTTTCCTACCAAAGAATACCCAACACTACAAAGCCAGTGATTTACACATATCTAACACACTGCATAGCCAGGGAAGTGATGCACACATTTTCTTATCATCATCTTCTTATGTCACCTTCTGCCACCAGCCTGCTCAAAGGACAATGAATCGGCATCATCACTGCTGAGCATGTAGCAGGGGGCGATTCAAAAAGCAGTAACAATGAACCACTGAAGTACCAGAGTGATCTTCTTGGCTGTGCAGTGGGGCAAAGTGTGTGAATAAGTGGTAAACATATTTAAAACACGTGCATTTCACCTGTATTTTTAGCTGTTTGCATGCCACAGTGCAGAAGGGGTAAACCAACAATCTACATTACACGAGCACACAGAAAAGTAGCGAGAAAGATTGTTTACAATATACTGAATATATTTTATTACAGAAATTTAAAGGATTAGGAAGAATTAAGAACTATCCTCTGCGTCATATACAGTAAATTATATTCTTTTATTATTGGAAATGGAAAGTATCCACCTGTTTATATTTTAAATGTAGCTGGGGTGTAGCTGAAAATATCAGTTACTCAAAGTGGCATTCCAACAGCCAATAATATCTCCAGTGCTCAGAATATCCCATATTAAGAGATCAAGGAGTAAAGAACAGCCTTGTTGCCATAATCCTGGATCAACTTTTAATCCCTGTATTTGTAGTAAAAAGTTTAATGAACTTAAGTGTTCTGTGATGTCACAGTTTCAATTCTATTGCAGTGTCATTAATTATCGACATATTCTAAATAAAGGTAGTGATTGATTCATGTTTACTTAAAATAATCTGGCAGGAAATGTTATGGTGTTGGAAATGGTGACACTCTTCATGGACCTACACTGAAATAAGGTTTCCCAAACTTTGACCATCCTGTCCAAGAAAACACAGAAATGAAAATGAAGCTAATACTTACCTTTACTACAGACATTGTTTTCAAGGAAATCCTACTGAGACTGGTGCCAGCATCTGATCTCAGCTAAAGGGGCTTAAAGAACTTATGTTCAGACAAAGCCAGCAAACAAACAGCTCTGCCTGAACACTTAGCCTCCGCAAAGATCACATGACCGTCATTTAAAACTAGGGATGCACCGATACTGATACTAGTATCAGGGTATTTGGGAGAGTACTCGTACTTGCCCAAATGCTCTGATACCGGAACTTCCAGTCAGAGGGAGACATCCCTCTGACCACAAGTCCCGAGGGAGCATGGAGCCGGCTTGCTTTCCAATCAAGAAGTCGGGTGGTGGGCTGTGACCCGTCTCCCCAATTGGCCAGGAAGCCAGCTTCACTTGTTGGTAGGCAGCCTGGCTTCCTAACCAATCAGGAAGCTGGATGGCACCGACTCGCCGCCTGGCTTCCTGATTGGTCAGGAAGCCAGGAAAGCCTCGGCATGTGAAGCCGGTGTTCTTTCGCTAGATAATCTGGGCACACGGCACCGGTATTCGGTATCGACGAGTACCGGGAAAAAAAATATCGGTACTCGTAACCGAAAAACTGGTATTGGTGCAATTGACAATGATTGACAATGGAAACAGCCCACAGCAGTGTCTTCCGTGGCAAAGGTATGTGCCTCAGAACTTCTTTATCCATTTATGTTTACCAGCAGAATGGCCAGGATCAGGAAGGAAGGTTCCTATTAAAGTATTGGATTGCTTTGACAGAGTTATGTTTTGTGGCATCATCTTTGAAATATCCACTCCCTTAGAAAAAAAATATTATTTATACGTACATGTCACTCTGATGTGTATACACCCTGTCGAACAATGCTTCCGGTGCCATCCACTTTACAGGTAGCCGACCCTATTGAAAAAAAAAAAAAATGGTTTACAATGCAGAAATGACAGCCTCCTATAAAGGAACATTTGACTATTGAAATGGTCTTCTTCCAATACAGTTTCAATAACTCACATTGCTGGTTTTCTTGTAGTAGTCAATGTCATGCACCCCTCGAGCAAGGCCAAAGTCAGCAATCTTCATGACGTTATCTTCAGCTACAAGGACGTTTCTGGCTGCCAGGTCCCTGTGTATGCACTGCAGGACAAAGTCAAGAGTTGTAATATATATCAGTACTGTCATTTATTGCACTTACTGGGTATTTTCTATTAAAGCTTATTTCAGGTAGCCTAGGGTGTGTATGTACTTGAACACATGAGTTCATCAAACAGTGACTGTTCAGTGGTAAAAGTTTCATCCCTCCTATAGTCAACAACATAAATCACTACACATTATAGTATTAAGAAAAATAGTACTACAAGGGCGATGCCTGCGCTTTCTTTATGTATTCTGTGTTACTAGGTGTCCACGTGTGCTGACAGTTCTCATTCATATAAGGATGAATGAACCTGACATTAGCCAACATCACTATGTGGAATTCATATGTATACAAACCCATATGGGAAACCAGTCATGAGAGAAATATATAATCAACCAATGCAGACTTCTGAATATTCCAGTTGCAAGGTGTTAGAATATTGAAAACAGTAGATTAGTTTAAGCCAAGCTGGAATAAGTATGCAGCAAGTAAATCACAGTGAAGTCAGTGTTCCCGATGTGTAGACTTCAACCAGGTTCAGTGACTCAGATGCTCAAGTTGGCAGGGTTTATATCTAAAACTGGCCACAGACATCAGAGGGCAGATGGCAAAGGGGTTTATAACCATGGCCAAAGATGCAACAGTTAACAGATATAAGCATTAAGCTTCATTCTTACCTTTTTGGACTCTAGGTATTCCATACCACGGGCAACCTGATAAGCACAGGACACAAGATCCTTAAAAGACAGCAGTTCTTCAGGCACCTTGGTAATGTCAAAGCCATCTTCTGGGGTTGGAGGACGACGAGCACGGAGGAACTCTCGCAGGTTTCCCTTTGAAGCATATTCCACAATAACAAAGAGGGGACCTGAATTGAAGAACAGCGATTTTAAACATTTTATAACACATTCATGGCCTAATCCCCCAATCGCTACAGACCCAGATATCCATTAACCCAGGTGGCAGTTATTCATTGCTTACCCTCTTGAGTGCAGACGCCCAGAAGGTTAATTATGTTCTTGTGTTTTCCCATCACTTTCATCAGTTCCATTTCCGAGATGAGATCAGACAAGTCTTTGTCATTGCCATTATCTAAACAAAGGAGAATAAATACTTATTCAGGGTGTTAATTTAAGTCATTTGTTTGTCTTATAGTTACTTTTCCAGTGCAGTCAGTTAATTAGAAGTACAGTTTCTCAATCTCACCTTTAAGCATCTTTACTGCAACTGTTACAGGCCTTTCAGGACGGTCCTTATCAATGCCATAAGCATCAGCTCTCACGACTTGACCAAAGCAGCCTTCTCCCAGAGGTTTCCCTAACACAAGCCTGATGAAGCACAAGACAATATTTAAAATCAAGACATATTAAAAGTACACATACTGTATATCAAAAAGTGTCTACACATGACAGAGGTCTGACCTGTCCCTGGGGAACTCCCATTTAGCATCCAAAGGTAACTCCACTTCCATAACGCCAGGAAGCATGGGAGCACAACTGGAAGAAAGGCGGGTGATGCGAATCAAAGGGGCACTGGACTTTCCAGAGGAACTAGACTCTAGGGAAAACTAAAGAAAAAAAAAATAGATATTAGTAATGCGCTTTCCATAAATCTACACAATGGTGGTAAAGCATGTGTTTTTAAAAACACAATATACAAGTACACTTTAGGCAATGCTTCCTGAAATAGGTTTTTAAAACAGGATGAGTAAAAATATAAATTGGACGTACTAAGGTAATCAAAGACAAGTGATGCCAATGGTTGTGGTTTTCACTTACAGAACTTCTAAGTAACAATGCCATTATCTAAGGCTACATTCACACCTCTGCCTGTTAAGTGTGAGGTTTTTCGAGGATGCCACAAGCAAGGTTTTTTTTTAACACACCAAAACATGTGTGTGGATGTACCCTAAAGTCCCTTCTCTTATAGCGATAGTTTTACAAAGAGACAAAAACAATTACAAGATTGTGTTTCAATTATATAGCATCCTTACTGGGTTTTAAAACCATTTTTTAGGGATGACTTGCTGCTATGCATACACCATAGAGGAGAATTAAATACACAAAGCAGCCTAGAAAAACTAGAGGACCAAAAAACAAAGCTAGATAAGGAAAAACTTTTAATTGTACCCAAGTTCTACACCTCTAGCGCAGCATACTTCAACAGTTATGCATGAAAGCAGGTGTATGTATTTATACTGTATATAACAGCAGGTTAATGGGTTAATATAATTTAAAAAAATATAATAATATATATATATATATATATATAATCTATATTAAAAAAAAATGTGTTTTTTTTTAAATTGGAAATTTAAATTGTAATACAACTTAACTAAACCATTAGCCTTATATTGTGACTGATGACTCCAGCATATACAATTTAATGAGACAATTGTTATAAACCATTACTTACCTGACGTATGAGAGGGAACTTTGCAAGTTTATGAACAGGTGGTGGTTGGAGGGTCTGCTTGCTGTTTGTCGTTTGCATGCGGCATAGAATTACAATGGCAACTGCCATGGCCACGGCCAGAAATCCAGAAGTGTAGATAATTATATCCACATATCTGGACTCTGCCGGCTCTGCCTCCTCTATAAAGTCTTCATCTGGTGAGGAAAGGAAGTAGAGAGACAGAGGGTCAGCACTACATCTGTGACCTTGACCTTCTTTATGGACCTTGCATCCACTCTCACCCTATCCAATCTGTTATTCCAAATCCACCCACACATGACAATGAAAACTTCCTTTACAGATGTGCCTTCTACTGCTAACAATTGTATGTAGAGCAGGGTCAATGTTAAATTTAAAAACATACACCACTGAAGCCATGCATCCCCTGCATGTGCCTTAAATCTCTTTAACATCATACTTCATACACATTTTTCATACACACTTTAGGCAGTATCATTTGTATATTGCCATATAGTGCTTCTAGCTGGAATTATCAAATCACACCATTCTTACTTAAAGAGAACCAGTCACTACAGGGCTGAGCCATGACAACTGCCTAAACTTACAGACACTGGGGGTGATTTACTAACCTAAACACACGCACGCACTAGGTGCGTGTGATTTTTACACAGCAAAACGTATTTATCAACCAAAAAGTCTCTAAAAGCATATTTCCACTAATGCCATATATGGAAAAATCATGCACATGATGCATATATAATGCTGCTTCACAGTTTAGACAAAAATGGTTAGCTCATGCATTTACATTCCTTAGGTATTCCACTTACTAGGTAACACAGTGAGCCAGGCTGATTGATAAGAGAGACCAATGGAATTTCCTGCAAGGCACGTGTACTCCCCGGCATCCTCCATTGTGACGTTCCGCAGATGGAGTACCTCTACTTCTGATGTATTAATATCTGCCGTCTACAAGAAATTACAAATGTGAAAATAAATTTGAAAATGAAGAAGTTATATTACATTAAGTACTAACAAAACAATATAACAGGTTATGTTCTGCCTACTTGATATAGTAAAGAATCAGTTTGGAATGCCTGAGATGCAAATTCAGAAATGTTAGTATAGTCCCCTAATTATACAGTGTTGATATTATACGGGAGGCCTGAAACAAATCTATCCCTACTGCAGGGGGTGTGGCAGACAAATGAAACAGAGCCCCTCTGGGGACAGATAGAGGAGGGCACACAGTTTAGGACTCCATTGATGCCCAGCATTGTTGCTTCAAATACTGTACATACAAGATAAGCCTTTTGCTATGGTGTGACGCCTGATCTGCCTTCTGAAACTTTGACCAGCTACAGTATGTTGTCCTTGTAATTGCAATTACGAGCCTCATTTTATGTGAGGTTACCAGCAACAGAGGTCTTAAAGAGACCCTGTCACTAAATTAAACAATTGCAGGTAATAGCACAGACAAATCAGACTTTTCAAAATTCTTACTTGCAGTGTTTTTTCTTCCCATAAATAATTTTTATACACTTGAAAGGTGCTAGAAACTTTAACTAGTCAATATCTTAGCACTGCCCTCTCCTATCTGCTAGGGCCTTAATTATTCTCTGTGCTAGTCAAGGTCATCCACCCCTCCCTACATAAACTTTTATCTAGCTAATGGGGGGTGGTAAAGGGAAATACTAGTCAAAATGTGGCCCTCCAGTTGTGGTGACTGTCACAGGCATGACTTCCAGGTGCAAAGGCATGATGGGATAAGAAGTTTTGCCACAGCTGGAGAGCCAAAGTCTGGGTACCCCTACTAGAGTTTGTCACTTGTAACACATCAAAAATGCAGACACCCAGCAGCAGCCTTAGGGCTTTTGGATATCTTCACAAGGGAGGCTTTTACAGGTAAATAACATGGCTAAAATATGTTAAATGCACATATAATTTTAGGGGTCTTTAAGCAGACTATTGGAGCACGGTGCCCTCTATAGGAGGTAGCTAGCTGATCAGCAGAGAAAGAACTCTTTCTTCCTTAAAGTCCAGCTGATTGGCCCTCTTGTCATTTGGCCTATTATACAAGAACATGGCCCATATGTCTGCTCAGTCCAAAAGAGCGAAAAACCCACACATTAAAGCCAGTTTAGTAAAAAAAAGTTGTCCATACACATTGTTGTCTAATTGTTGTGGGTCATCTCCCAACCCACTCAAGCATTTGCCTTAAAATCGCTCAATTCTTTGCCACCATAAGCCACGGTAGCTGCAATATGCTTATTGTGGAGACTGAGGAAAAGACTTGGCACAGTACAAATGAGCTCTACCACTTCAACTAAATACAGCCATAGAAAATTATTCTCAAACATTATAGGCAGCAATGCTCAATGATGTTGCACAATGGTAACAGGAGTTTTAAAAGTTACCTTAAGTACTTGTACATATGGTGCATCATCAGGTCCAACACGGCTCCCATTCAGTTCAATGTGTTTAAGCCACTGAATGTGTGGCTGTGCATCACTGTACACCTTGCACAAGAATTCCACGTCGCTGCCTACGCGAACGGTGGTGTTTGCCGGAAGGCCAGCTTGCAGGATTGGCCGGTGAGATGATCTTTCTATAGAAACAAAGAAGAAAAACGTGTAACTACTTTATGAAAAATCTACATCTGATTTTACCTGTTACCTCCCATTTAAGTTTTAAGCTGCTGCACATTTCATGATGACATTAAGTGCCATGAAATTGATATGAAAATTGTACACTTTCTTAAAAGAGGCTGTAATGTAACAGGACTCTTGCTCTGAATGTCCTACAAAATCTAATGTTAGCATTAGGAGCTGTACTCTGCAGGAGGGCATGAAATGACAAACAGCCATAAAAGATGTACTCAGTGGAGACAGCATCTCAATTACCCCGGGAAGATAGTTTGCAAACAGTTGTAGTAGCTAATCAGAGAGAGGGAAAGCTTGGCTACAGAGTACATAATGACCCTCATTAGGTTTATGACAGAAATTCTGTCTCATGGACTTTGAAGTTCCAGAGGGTCTGAGAGGGAAGCTGGAACACTACTGCATCATTACAATGTATTTTAAGGAATCCAGGTTATCACATGTCACACAGTCTCCTAAGCGAGTATTGTTCTCATCAAGAGAAAAAGTGGGCCTGCCCTTGTTACTACTATTGCTAAAATGTATAACTACCACTTAAGTGCTTTATTTTAATTATTACTACGAGCTGAAGGAGGGGTTTCCCACAGCAACCAATCATGTTTAGAAGTCATTCCATCTAACAAAAAAAAGAATGTTATCAATTGTCCAAAGCCTACCTCTACTTCTCATTAAAGAAACCCAGTGCCAAGAGAAATACAAGGCTCCCACTGCAAACCTCTGATTCTAAAAATGCCATTTGCTTGGCTGTTACACAGATCTAATGGTCTACTATGTCCTGAGTCAATGACCCACAACAAAAAATCAAATAAGGAGTTATGACTTTGCACTGACTTGGCTGAATACATGTTTCAGGCAAGCAATTCAGAAAACACTGAAGCCAGAGGATTAGGCCTTACTGCCCAGAGCGATCATTTTCAGAAGATGATCACTAATGACAGCCTCCGTATTTCTCTAGGCACAGGTCAAATTTAAACATCACCCAGATTTTTATTGCATGATGCTTTTATGTAAATATTCTTAAAAGTAGCACCAAAATTCATGTATGCTCACCAAGCACATCCAGTATATAAGTGTAGCTAATGGTGCCCATCTTGTTCTCCACTATACAGGTGTAGTTTCCACGGTCAGAGGGAACCACGCTCTCCATGACCAGACTCCAGTGTTGATGTCGTAGCTATAAAGAATTAAAAAATAATTAAATAACACATAGAAGACCTATGTCAAGCTGGCCACTGATGTAACAGGTTATTTCTTTAAAAGGGCCATTAACCAAGTACTAATGACATACCTGAATACCTCCTATCCGATGCTCGCCTCGAAATTCTCTTCCATTTTTGAGCCAGCGTATGGTTGGAAGTGGGCTGCCACTAGCTGCACAGCGAAACTTTACTGTGTTTCCAGCAGGCAGGGCATATAGTTTCTTCTCCATGCGCTGTGGATGGGTCCAGTATGGAGCTACAAGACATAAGCATAGTTCTTATAGAACCAGTGTTGGCATTATAAACTAGTGCATGCCAATGAAAGGTTAATATATTTACTGCAGGATTTCAGAACTAATTTGACGCAACCAGGTTTATTGAACTTTCTAACGTGTTTGATTGATTGCAAATTCTAACAACAGCATCTGTTAAAACATGTTATCTAAAGATTATAGGTGAAAGAGAATAACTCATCCTTAGTTACTGTGAAATAATATCTGGCTAAAGATCATCCTTTGATGGACACTAGAATATGATTATGTTGGAAAGGCAGGCTGTGGCTGCTTATCTACTATCCCCAGGGCATAGGTCAGCAACATGTATTCCTCTATCTGGCCATCACAGACAGTCTGGTCTTTGGTATGTGGAGAACGCTAGGACCAGACTGCTCTGTACTGGGATTACAGTTTATGGCCTTGCTGGGTGAGGAAACATAGTTATTATAACCTCTAATTAGTCATCTAAACAAGAGAGCACTCACCTTGGTAGATATAAACAGGATCCTCACTCAGATCACCCTGGAAATCTTCCCTACGGCCATCCTCATCATCTTCATCTCCAGATGCCATTGAATCTGCAGACAAGCATAAGATGTCAGAAGGGCTCAAAGCCTTACATGCAATGTTCTTTTGATCTAAATATTAGCATTAACAATGTACAATTACATGAAACATTACAGGTCACGAGTACCATGTTAGCACAAATTAGAGCTGCCCCAATACCAACTGTATAAGTCTAGCCAGTATTCTGGTGGTAAGAACCACCAAGAACAAAATCAAGATTCATCATTGATAATGTAATGATTAATATTATAATGACAAAGTGTTTAAAGTATAAACAAAGCGCAGGACAAGTAAGAGGGGCATATGTAAGAAGTGTAAATCAGACTCGCTGCAAGCAGCAGTTTACATGTTCCGTAATGATACAAAATGTTATGTTAGTATGTCTTTTAAAGCATGTGGCTTGCATTAGTTTTTATGTTTTAAATGACAAGTAAGCATGCTGGTCCATGGATAACAAACTTTTTTTTTTTACCATAAACCAAGTTCTAAATTATGTATAGGGTTCCATAAAGAAGGCAAAGTCAGTTCGGTAACCTTCCATATAGAAACTCACCAACTACAGATATGGTGAACCTTCGAAGGATTTGTCCGGTACCACGGACCACACAAAGATATAGGCCAGAATCCTCATAGGTTACATCTATTAGCTCCAACACATAGCCTTGTATGTGAATCTTTTCTCCTGCCAGCAACCGTTCCTGCTCTCTGTACCAGTTAATGTTGATGCTGTGGTTGGTGTCACAAGCGAGTCGCAATGAGTTTCCAGGGTCAAGCAGGAGATGTTCCTCAATCCCAGGATGTGACTCTGCAGGAGGGGAGCAGAGTACACACAGGGGGGTCAATACTTTAATTTAGAAATACACAGTCCTTATCAGCATGCATAGAAAAGACACTGACAAATGTTTAGCTGACCTATCTTGAACTTTAGGAGGACAGTTCCTGAGCCCTGTTATCCATTTAAACTTTCTGAAAAATCAGTTACACTATTTAGACTCTTAGGCCTAGTTTCTCCAGTTCAAAAAGACTATACTGTTCCAAATATTAAAATAGGGAATAAAAATACCAACAGTCGGATAAAACATCTGGGCACAGTTTAATCCAATAACCATGAGAAGCATTTTTTTTTATATTTACTTAAAGTGACATTAAACCCTCAGATTTTTTAACATAAAACAATACTGTAATGTGTGCCTTACTGTAATCCATGGTTGTTTCCCTTCTCTTTGCTGCTCTTCCTTTTAAATCCTCATGTCTTCTCATGCTGGGGGAGAACTTCCCTTTGCAGCTAAGTGCCTCTTCCTGTACTGCTGGCTCAGGTTGCAAACCTACACACAGACACCATGTATCAATTTCAGAGACAAGGCAGTCTGCTGCAAAACAGAAGTTCTGCCCAGCATGAGAACCGATACAGATTTAAAAGGAAGAGCAGCAAAGAGAAGGGAAACTACCATGGATTACAGTAAGGAACACATTGCACTATTGTCTTATGTTAAAAAATTTGAGGGTTTAATGTCACTTTAATGAAATTAACATGGTTTAGGAAAGTAATGCTATTCAGCTAGAATCTTTTTATTATCAGATTGATGTACCAGTACGATGGAGATGATTGGTAATGGTTGCTACAAATTGCAAAGAGTACTCTTTGTCCTAAGTAAAGGAAGCTGAAAACTTTTAAGACCCAAATCCACATTTCACAACCGGAGCATACAATAGATCACCACTAAACCTGGCACATATAAGACACTGCTACGGTAAAAGGTTAGAAAAACATATTGCCCATACATCAAGATTAAAAGTGTTAATTAAACACCTCAACCTCCCAGATACACACACAGGTCATCCGACCTAAGACATCATGTTTGGTTAACCATTAGATGAACTCTAAAGCTTTTTTTTTGGGGGGGGGGGCGTCGGCGAGAAAGACACACTCCAGACAGGTGAGAATTTTCTCACCTCAACAAATAGAAAACTTTGTGAACTTGTAGTATGACCTGGCTGTCAACTTTTGACCTCAATGAAAACCCTCCATGGCAGAATCCTTAGAAGGATCACCTTTCCCAGTGCCACTTCTGCCAGGGAACATGGGCACGCACAAAATGGAAAGGATATTCCTTCTGACAAAAATGCATTTTTGTATAGTTGGGTGCAGTCAATCGATGGTTTCCTTCCCTCAGCCTACTGACTCATCCTAACACCATAGAGTTTTAATTACAGATTTTCCAGCCTGCAGTGCAACAATACATCATATTGGAAATGCATATATATTTTTCTTTTCCCATGTTTAAATACTGCTGATATAGGGTACAGAAAACCAGTCACATCACTAATTGCCCCATGAGTTCCTAGCCATAAACACACACACAGATCCACGTGGCCAAATTAGTTAGACACCAATTATCCTACCATTAGGTTCTTTGGGTTGTAGAAAGAAACCCACAAAAATACAACTTCCATGCAGACCTCTATGTGTCCTTGGGGTGTACTGAACCATGGACCCCAGCACTGCACATCTAAAGTGGTGTCTCAAGTTTCTCATTGGCCATAGTGTGTATCCATGCTTTACACATCAAATGGTTCTCTAAGCATATAGCCAACACATCAGCTTTATTAAAGACTGTCCATTCCTATAATTACCTTTCTGACGGGTCTGGTCTTCTGGCATTGTTGGTCTGCACGATGTCAACATGACAAGAGCCAGAAAGCAGGGCAGGAGCCTTGGAAATGTGAGCATGGTGTCTTGGCTTATTACAGTAGGTCTAGGTAAGGCAGAAATAAGCCCACTGAAGTATTGACAAACTGCAGGAGAAAACACATTGTTATGAATACAGATATACACAAATCATAAAATATGCATATTGACAAATGTAAACGATTTTAAAATGCCAAAAGCAATTTGTTGAAGTCATAGGTAAGAGTACCCCTTCACTTCACAATTTATTATTTGTACAATAAGGTATGATTTGCCGCTTACACCAATTTTGATAACCTCTTGATTAAATAAATGTTTAAATATCTAAAAGCTATGTGTTGCTTAATAACATTCTTCAGAACAATGTGCTATTAAATAATATGTCCATATTAAAAAAATGGGAACATTTATTTTTCCATGTCCATGTTTTCTACATGTCTTTTTTGAAAATGCAAGACATCACTGTGATGAACATTACTGTGCAGAGACCCATAGCAACCAACTACAGACCAGATTCCATTAATGTCACTGCTAAAAGCTCTTCTGATTGGCTGGTATGGGTTAATCCAAAAACCTATTATTTACACTATGGTACCAAAATGTGTCCTATCACTTTTATTAACATACATACATAGGCAGATCTAGTTGACCAACTTAAAGTCAACCAGCCTGATCTGTAACAGACATAGCTATCCATGGTGATGCTAAATCTGCCAGATCCAGGTCTAGAGCACCCCTATCCAAACATCTGTATCAATGGACAACAGCAAGGTTTGTATATATAAAAAAAAAACTGCAATTCTATCCTAACATATCTGTCAACCCTCAATGTCAATAAGAGCTCACACATTGCCCAACTGTGAGCAGATTACATTTAAAATAAACCCAGTCTGCCTGGTATTTGTTACATGGGTGGGAAGCTTGGCTTTTGGAAACATGTTTCTTTTAACTTTGATTGTAATACTGTACTTTGACATCTGCCAAAATGAAACTGAAAATCTCAGACTACAGTTATAACACAACATAGTATCATATCACAATGCTAACCCAAGCATGTTATCATACAAAGTGAACGTATTAGGACTTCACTGTACAAATGTAAGATTAAATATCACCTCTATAAACACAGATCATGCTGTGCTGTCATACCAACGCTGCTCACTAAGAGAATCCTAATAATTTGGGTCCAGCTAGCATATCATCTCTCATTAATCAGCACAAACAAAAAAGAAGGGATAAAGAAATACACATGATATAATCTCCACCCATCAGTGCATTCCAAGGGATATCAATGTGTAACTAGCTGCAGGGACCTGGGGCTCCAGCTTAATCTTTGAACACAAATTGACAAAGGCCTTTGTGTGCCAAGGCTACCCTAGTTACAGATTTACAGAATACTTATGGTACCAGAGTGAGAGTTTACACAGAGCCGCTCTGCAATCACAGGAGATAAACAAGGGGTAAATATGAGAAAATATATATATAACAGACAAGAAAAATGAACACGTACATCATCATATGCATAACCGAACCATTCCTAAAACAACACAGCATTCAATTCATAGTAATGGCATGCAAGCGCAGTGCAAACAGCCAATCATACAAAAGCCCACAGCAGTCCCAGCACTTACAAGCATGCCATTCCCTGCTATTGCTGACCATTGATTAACAATACCCAGTCACCAAGCCTGGGCAGAAGCATAAAACTTTATATTTAGCACCAACTCAAGGTCAGATTAGAAAATATTTATTGTAGACCACACTAGGGTATTTATAAACAGAGGATACATCTGTAACCTCAGGAAAAAAAACAGGATCAACTATACTACCTTTAAGTCTTTAAAGAAATATCATAAGAAATGAATAGATGAATTAACCCTTTCAAAGCCTTAACCAGCACAGCACAATCCAAACCATGAGGACCAATGTCTAATACAGGAGATCAGCTACAAGCAACAGTTACCCTTCATTTAATAGGTGGGGGGCAATGAATGATGGTCATTTTTAGGGTAAACATCTAGACCTTCCCAGGACAGGACCTGATCACATCAAAGGAGAGGTTTGCCTATGGGCAATCAGATGAGCAGAGAGGGCCAGTGATAAGAGTGACGCCGGAGAAGTGTGAAGTTTAGCTAGCTCCCAGCTAGTCATTCGCACACCCCCCGTGGCCGCCAAGCGCCTGCAATACAAGGAAAGAGGGGGAGAGTGGGGGTATTGGGGGTTGCACAATGTGCTCTCACCTGATCTCACTTATTGGGGTGCTCCAGTCTCCCCCATTTACAGACAGTCCGGGAACATTCTGTCCAGTAGTGATAAATCCAACGCGCTGTCAACCAAAACAAATCCAGATCGCGATCATGCACCAAGCAACATCCCGCACATGTCTCCAAAATAGCAATCCAGCCAGCGCGCAGTCCCTGGAATCTACAACTGGGGGGGATCCACGGAGCTGCTTCTTCTCAGTCGGGGGGTCCTGGTGTCCGGAGCTCGTCCCATCCAGCTCTACTGTGACGATGTCTCCCTCCTGCACATCCCAATCACAAGTTTCTCAGGTTACACCCTGCGGGCTGTCCACTCTCTCTTCTCTCCCTTTAGCAGCAACAATGGACTATAAGGGTGCAATGCTACAGGGAATCCCACCACAAACACCGCCCCCAGGCTCTGCTCCCCCCCTCCCTCTGGGTTTATTCAGCAACCCTCCCCCCCACAACCCCCCCCCTTTTTCAATTCACCCTTTTCACACTCAAATTAGCTAACTTCTCCCCCAGCTTTGTGCGGGAGGAGTAAACTGCTTCGCTTTGCTGTCCTGCTCTGGGCTTTCTGGGTGTCAGCATGGGTCCAGGCTTTCTTTACAACAGCCTTCCAGCTAATGATGACATTCCTGCCAGGGCTAGGAGGGAGCAGGGTGTCCTATTGTCATGGCTATACTACATCCCCAACATCTCCACCAAGCACCAAGGAAATCTATCTATCTATCTATCTATCTATCTATCTATCTAAAACTACATCTGGTATTAGCAGTCTGATATCTACACTTACTAGTAGCTATATATATATAGATATATATAGATATATATCTATATATAACTAATAGCTACAACGAACTATAGCTATCTAGTAGCTACACATACTGTATACAGATGAGGGTTAGCAGAGAAGACCTCAGGGACCAGCAGGCATGTTGGATAAAATAAACTGTGAGATTAGCAGGCTTCTACTACTAAATCTATCCTTAGGTGCAGCTATTAGTGAAATTATCAGAATTTTGCTACTAAATCTGATTTCTAACATAGCTACTAGTTACAGCAAATCGTGCAGTTCTACTACTCAAACTAACCTTTAACATAGCTACCAGTCAGTGCAGGTACTAAATGTAATTTCTAACATGGCTACTAGGTTCCAGTCTTGGGACCGATCCTGTTCATCTTATTCATCCATGACATAGAGAGTGGACTAAATGGTTCAATGTCGTTTTTTGCGGACGATACTAAACTATGCAGTAAATTCCGAACAGGAGATATTCGCACTACAACAGGACCTAAGAAAAATTGAGGCATGGGCAACAAAATGGCAAATGCGATTTAATTTTGAAAAATGTAAGGTGATACACATGGGAGTAAAGAACATGTGCGCAAACTACTACTTAGGGGGTGTTACTTTAAGGAAGTCAGAGAAATAGACCTGGGGGTCCTCCTAGATCTCAGATTTGGCAATAGTAAGCAATGCCAAGCAGCAGCCAGCAAAGCTAACAAGATAATTGTAGCAAGGGATCAAAGAGTAATACTTCCACTTTATAGATCATTGGTTTGGCCCCATCTTGAGTATGCGGTACAGTTCTGGTCGCCGACTCTCAGGAGGGATGTCCTGGAACTGGAGAGAGTACAGAGAAGGGCTACAACATTAATTAAATGGATTGAAGGCTTGAGTTATGAAGACTGCATTCAAAATCTTAACTTATTCACCTAAAAAAAGAGGCGATTAAGAGGGGACCTTATTGCAGTCTTCAATCATGAATGGGGACCCCAATATTAGGAACAAACTGTTTAATCCTAAAACTGTATTGAGAACCCGGGAACACAACAGGAGGTTAGAAGAGAAGGGGTTTAATCTTAGAATTCGCAAGGGGTATTTCACTGTGAGTCGTGAAAGTTTAGAATTCCCTCCCACAGGCGGTGGTATCTGTGGATAAAATTGATAAATTATTCAAGAAACTTAAGGATGAGTTTCTTCTTTCGCTGAATCTACAGGAATATGGGAAGTGTTAGAGCCAGATAAATACACACGCGCGCGCGCACACACACACACACACACACACGTAAACTGGATGGACCTTGGTCTTTATTCAGCCTTACATACTACGTTACTATGTTACTAGTTAGAGTAAATACAGTTTCGATCTAACCTTTAACATAGCTACTAGCTTGTGCAATAATTAGACTGCTAAATATAATTTACAACATAACTTAGTGCAATTAGTAGGCTTCTGCCACTAAATGTGACTTCTAACATAGCTACTACTTAGCACAGATAGCAGACTGCTAGTACTAAATGTAGTTTCTAACATAGCTATTAGTTAGTGCAGATAGCAGACTGCTAGAGCTAAATACAGTTTCTAATATAGCTACTAGTTAGCACAGAGAGCAGACTGCTAGTACTAAATGTAGTTTCTAACATAGCTATCAGTTAGCCCAAATAGCAGACTTCTAGTACTAAATGCAGTTTCCATTATAGCTACTAGTAAGCTCAAAGAGCAGACTGCTAGTACTAAACATAGTTTCTAATATAGCTACTAGTTATTGCAACTGACACAATTCTACTAAGATATCTAACCAATAGCATGGCTACTAGTTACCTAAACCTAACTTTAACATAGCTACTAGTTTGTACAATTATCAGACTGCTAGTACTAAAAGTAATTTCTAAAATAGCTACTACTAGCAGACTTCTACTACAAAGTGACTGGAGCTGATCAGCTGCAGCCTCTGTTCGGGTGAGATTTTTTGTATCGACTCCTTTGACAAAAGGCAATTGAAAAGGGCGATTTTGTCGAATGGAGGGGGCCACACTGCTCTAATTTTGGCCAAGTTATGCTGACCCACCCAAA